AAATATCAGATCTAAATGATACAACCAATTTTTGTAGTCTATGCAATCATTCTCAACAAATAAAACTCAGTTGAAGATACAGACCACTATCCAGTCAGTGCTGGTGGTGGTTCGGGGGACAGGACCATGTGAACACGAATGGGAACAGTTGTTATGGAGGAGGGCCACCTGTGTCACCTATTCTATACTCAATGCTTTAGTTAGCAGAAATAATAATAAAAAAAAATCTCTAGGTTTTTTGAACAAGAAACCATAGAGAAAAATTCATCTCAAAAGACCAGCCTGTATTTCCTCCTGTAACCTAATTACTGGCAGAACGTTAACTTTCGCTAATGAAGAATGTCACAGACTTGGGGGTGTGCACATGCGTGCGCATGTGGGAGGCTCGTGACATGTGGATGCTGTGCAAGCCAAGCCCCGCACAGCAGCACCTGAGCTCCTGTCTGCAGGACGGCCATGCCCTTCACTGGCTCTGGCTGGTAGGCTCAGGTCTAGGGTATAGAGATATCTGGTTCTGTGCCCACATTTCTCAGGGGCACGTGTTAAAGGAAATGGCCACAATGGGAGAGGGTAAGTCCACTGTCTTGACTCTATCTCACCCTCCTCCAAGCACTCACAGGGCAGGGTTGGAGATGGAGTGAGCAGTACATGACCTCCACATATTAGGATTCCTGTGATGTACATAGTCAAACAGGAGCCTAGGAAGGGGCTTGATCTCCCAAAATCCACTATGTTAATCCCTAGATATGACTGCCAAATCATCATGTTGGAGACACAAAAACAAAGATGTTTACATTTCCTGCTTCTGTCATTTGCTATGATCAGCTGATTCATTTTATTATTAGTTTTTAGATTAGCATACAATCACCAGGTTTCAAAACAGCATCTGCACACATACATGTCAGTATTAAAAATCATAGTAGTTATTCTACTTAAGTTTGGTAAGGCATCTTCTGTCATGTGGTATAGACTGCATTGGTGCTCATCCCCAAGAAAGACTCGAGTGTAAGGGAGCTAGAGAGGCAGCTTCTGTCATACTAAGGTGCCAGTCAGGCACTATTTCTGAAATTGAAGCAATATAAATACGCCACCTTTCAGTCTGCATTTCTGACTGCAGAAATTGCAGAGGGAAACACTCCGGAAAGTCGTGAACAGCTCTTGCCACGCAGCTGGTGATGGCATTCAGGGGCATGTAGCTAGTCCTGGGACTTCAATGACGGCAGCCTACCCCTTAGTGCTTCGAGGCTTCTGGTCTGAGGCACGTGTGAAAGAGGACTACGGGATGTTTTCTTTAGGGCTGTGCCAAAAGGCCTCCCAGAGCAGGCATGTGGGGCCAGCAGCTTCAAGGCTCAGGCCTTTGGCCATTGGTATACTTGTACTGAGGACAGGGTGGAAGAGATGAGGAGGCGGGTAAGGCACTCCCTTGACCCTGGCTACCATGGTTCCTCTAGGGAAGGTCACAGCATCTACCAGGGACACTTTCCTTCCCTCCCCCGACTTCTTCTGCAGGCCCTTTCTCAAGTCTCCGGAGTCCCTTCGGTAAATCTGTAGTGACCAGCTTGAGCACACTATCAGCTTTCCCCCTACGGTTCTGACTGAATTAGCTATCTTTTTTATTTTATCTTTCTTACACTCTTTAAGTTGTAGCTGTCTGTTAAAGTCATGAAAGGTGGAAGGCAGAGAGCACATCCAGCTACCTCACAGTGTCTTCTACAGTCCAGCTTCTTACAGTCGACCCAGGACCCCAGATAACAGCCCACTCTGGGCTGCAGTGTTTATAGTGCACTCTTATAGAAACATAACAGACAAACAGAAAACAAAGACTCGGTATTTTCCTACAGTCATCTCCCCAGAGTGTTGGTATCAAATTAGTCTCTCTCTGAAATACACTGTGAGACTGCTTGGTTTTAAAGGTTACCACTGCAGTTGCTGACTTGACTTCCATTAAAAATAAAATCATCAAATGCATTTTGGCTTGGGACAAAACTTCCAACAATTTTGGAAATGGCCCTACACATACTCTACTATTTTGTAATATGTATTTATGCAAAGTGGCGGCCCAAGTCCTGATGATTATAAAATCAAAAAGGGTGAAAAATGTTGAAGATGCTCTATGTCTTGTGGTATGTGACATGCAGTCAGCTATGTAGATGTTAGTGCCTTTGGAGGCCAGAAGAGGGCATTGGAGCCCTGGAGCTGGGCATATGGCTGCTAGTCATCTACCGTGGGTGCTGGGGAACAGAACTCGGCCCTCTAGAAGAGCAGCAAGTATTCTCTCTAGCCATCTCTCATGCCCCAGTTTTGTTTTTAATAAGTGGTAAAAATGAACGTATGCAAGAGACTCATTTTAAAATACATTAATCATCTATCTCTTATCTATAGATATGAATATCTATGTTATATATCTTTATACATGGGGTTGCATCCCCTTTTTTTCCCCAGTGGAAATGAGTCACAGAAAAGGTTCAGAAGCCCTGTGCTATGGCACTGTGTGTACTGCGCAGACGGCAGCGATAAAACAAGAGGCCACGGGTAGTCAGTGCCCGAGAACCAGGAGTTAGCGCTGCACAGGCGTGAGGAACAGAAAACAAACTCCTTTTTTTAAAAAAAAAATTTAAAGCTGTTTTACTGGTGGTATTTTTATTTTATGTACATTTGTGCTTTGCCTGCATGAATGTGTGAGGGTGTTGGGTCCCCTGGAACTGGAGTTACAGATGGTTATGAGCCCCCACATGGGTGCTGGGAATTGAACCTGAGTCTTCTGGAAGAGCAGCCAGTGCTCTTACCTGCTGAGCCATCTCTCCAGTCCCCAGAAACATAGTCTCACACCAAACCAAGCACTGTTAACAGGAAGAGTTTAAGCAACTGGTTTAATTCTGGGGTCAACATGCTTGTTAGACTTCATGCAACTGTTATTTAAGGAATAGAGTCCTAAGAACCACAAACGGTGCTTCAACTGTAGAATAAAAGCACACAATCTGACTTAGAAATGTACACTGTGGGATGTACACATCCTGCATTCAGGAGGCTGGGGGAGGAGGAGTGTGAGCTTGAGGCCAGCTCAGACTCCACAGTGAGACCCAGGTTCAAACAAACAAACAAACAAACAAACCAAAGTTAAAAGATGGGAAAAACATTACCATAGAGTAACAATAAACTACAATCCTCATAAAAATGACATACTGGCAGTGGGGCAAGTTAACACTTTCCGGGGAAAAACTATACAGAAGACTTTGACGTTATTGGAATTTACTTGCTATTATAAACTATCAGGGAACTGAGGGTTGGCCTCCGCAGACCCATCTGGAACTTCTGAATATGTGCCACCCACTCATTCGGGCTGGAGACACTGCTGTGCAGTGTTTTCCAATCTGTGTTTCTGTACTGCCTGTATGCATACACAAGCTCATGTAGAGGACACAGGGCATCGTTCCTCAGACAATGTGCACTATTTTTTTTTTTCTTATTTTGGAAGTAGGGTCTCTCACTGGTTTGGAAGTTGCCAAAACAGACTAAGCCAGGCTGCCAGTAAATGCCAGGGATCTGCCTGTCTCTGCCTCCCTGGTGCTGGGTCGGGGGGAGTTACATACCATCATGCCTGGCTTATTTAGGTGGGTTCTGCTGTTCAAACTCAATTCCCCATATTTAGAAAGCAAACACTAGAGAGCCATCCCCCAAAGCGGCCATCTTTTTGTCTGCTAGGACAGACCCACCCTGACCCAGCTTGATGGTTCACTACTACACAGCACCCACCAGATGACCCCGAGCTCAGAAAGTCAGCAAAGGTCACTTTCCACATTCCTTCTACCTCGCCATTGGCTGGGCACACTACTGATGGCTTCCCATAGGCTTGATCTTACAGTTTTATGCACAGATCACATGTGGGGAACTGAAATGCATGTAAGCAGCTGTGTGTGGGGAGAAATGGCCATCCGCTGTGCTATGGCATTAAGAACAAACACCATCTGGAAACACGTGACATGTTCTGAGATGCTTATCTGTTACATGGCATGCACTTTAAAGCACTCATTACGGGAAATCTTGTTTGGACCTGTAGGCTGGAAGTTGGATGGGTAGCAAGGCTCCCATCTTGTCCCAACCTCTCCTTGGGACAGATTGGAGCTGACATCGGCTGGTGGCTCTTGATGAGGTCTCAGGAACTCTCAGTGTCTGTGCAAAACCTTTTCCAGTGGGACAAGCAGTGACATCCAGCTCGGTGTTGCACCCTTCAGTGTCAGTTTCTATGACCGCTGACATTGAAGAATCATTCTTATTTATCCCCAAAATAAGAAAACTGGTCTTTGTTGCCTAACTCTGTCAGCAGGAACAGACAGACTTCTGTCTGCTAGGGACAGAACCAAGTGAACCTTGGTGAAGAAAAAGACCTTCAGAATCTGCAAGGAACCCCAGCCTCCTCACGACACCCAAAACAACGCGGCCTACCTCACAAATGATGGGGCACCCTGCTGAGTCCCATGGGTCCTTGCTGATTGCTATGTGCTCACAAAGCTGCTCTTCCCTACTGGGAGTAGCATCTTGCAATCATCATGTCTGGACAAACCAGGAGAACACCGAGAAAAAGTTTGGCAGACAAGGAAAAAGAAAGGATCTGAAGGACAGGGCAGTCTCTGAGAGTGGGAACCTTTGCTCAAGATAAACTCTGCTATGGTCCATCTCAGTAACAAACCTTGGTGCTAATGCAACAATGTTTGGAACTGTTAGTTTTCTCTTGAGTATTTCTGAAGCTTAGTTGCATTCATGCCTTTCATTGTTTGTGTGTGTGTGTGTGAGTGTGTGTGTGTGTGAGTGTGTGTGTGTGTGTGTGTGTGTGTGTGTGTGTATTTACTTATCTCAACATGCATGTATGGAATAAAAAAAAAATCACTTGCAGGCGCCACTTCAGAAAATCCACATCTGGCCATCAGGTAAATAGCGGACTTCACAAGCAAGGCCATTTCCCACAGTGCAGATGCTCACCCTGGCAGCCTGGGGACCCTTACCTTCAGCGGTGCCCGAGAGCCCGTCAGCCTTGAAGTTGCTGGTACTTTTCTTCCTCCGGTGCTTCTTTCTGTTGGCGTGGGGGGAAGGGGGCGGGTCAAGCTTGGGGCTGGTGCTGCTGGAGATACTTGGGCTGGAACACACCGAGTCACCCAGCCCTGTGTCTGCAACCGAACCAGAAAAGGCAAAAGAATGCAAAAGTAAGCTTGGAGCACTTGGAGTGAGAAAAGGAGGCAAAACCCACTCAAGCAACATCCTCCAGCATTAACAGGTGAGATCTTTCCATCTCTCAAAAGACACCTGTGCACAACGTGGCTGGGTTGGTGGCCCGGGGCTCCAGCAGTGAACAGATCTTAGCACTTTTGCCATGTGCACCTCCCAGGCCAAAGCAGGCACTGGAAATCCTCTGCTTCCAGCCACTGGACTCCTGAAACGTTAGACCCACACACAGGACATTAGGGGCAGCAGGACAGTGAACCTCCAATTCTCAGTGTTCCTTTTCCTTCCCTTACTGACCCTCATTTACCAGGAATGAGATACTAACATGCACAAACTGTCCTGAGTGGGTGTGAAATTGCATACAAAAGGGGAACAATTCCTGATCTTCTTCTCCCTGTAGTACTACATGTGGTGTGACTTCACTTTGTAATCAGTGAAAGGAGATACAACATGCCATGGCTCACCAACAGCCTGCAGGAATGTCTCCAAGTCAATACCATAGAATTGCAGACTGAAGAGAGGCTTTAAGGCCACTGTGCAAACACAATAACTTACTTTAAATAAAACTCAATTTATTTTTTACTCTATCTTTACCAAAAAGAAGCCCAAAGTAGTGCTAAAAGACTGGGAAGTGCCGGAATACAAGGGCAGGACAGTACACCGGGCAGGGGACAGAGGAGCATGAGTGGTGCCCCTCCCCACACCCCACATTTCAGAGTCATTTGTCATGAGTCAGGAGTCTTGTAATTACAAGGACAGAAGGGCTTGCACTGACTCCCATCCACCTGGTGACTAATTTCGGAATACTGTCAATCCCTACAAGCTGGGGACCCACCAGGAAAAACTGTTCCCACATCCTTGCTGATGGGCACCACGGCTCTGAATGGGTACCAACTGTCACCTTCTATTCCAGTTCCTGATGCTGCCACCCTTCCACTTCTACCAGGCTCCAGGACTTCCAGCTCATGCAGCTGGTTCCTTTCCCAAGGTGATCTGTCCCCTAGGGACAGCCAGCAGTTCTGAGCCTCACTTCATCCTGTAGTTTGGCAGGCTGGCTGCAGTGGTGGTGGTAAGGATAAGGGTTGAAGTGAAACACTGGCCCCTAGCTGGGCACGGCCGCACACCTTTAATCCATCACTTAGGAGGCAGAGGCAGAGGGTCTGAGAGTTCTGGAGCAGGCAGGTCTACATAGTGACACCCAGGCCAAAACAGCAAAGCCCACCCGCTGACCAGCCGATCAGCCCAGAAACCATCAGAGCAGAGCAGACAACTTTCCGAACAGTCTATTTGTCCAAAGCTCCCATCTAGTCCCTAGGACAGATATCAGACTCCAAGACGGCCAGCCATTCTGGAGTTTCCCTTCTGTATGCTATCCAGTGCTTGATGGTGAGAACTTTTGTTCTTCTTAAGTATTTCATGCACAAATTTCAAAAGATGCCACTACCTGTCCCGTGCCAGGGCCAATGACAGTGGTCCGTGCCTGTCTGGTCCCCTACCAGAGGGCTCACTCATCAGGCAGGAAAGCAAAGTTACTCACTGTTCTGACCCAAAGACATTCCCATGTAATAAGCCCAAGTGTCCCACTGTCCTGTTGCTTCAATCCTGCGACCTCTGTGACTGTCAGTAATTCTTTCTCCTAAGCTACAAGTTAGAGCTCTATTCTAGGGCTCTAACTGTGGACACTCTGCACTTGGCTGTCAGTGGTCTAAAGCTAACTACAGCTTCTTCAGGGAACTGGTGGTTTCTCTTCCCCAGTGTCCTATAATGCTCAACACAGGTAAGCTACTGTTTACGGCCCAACCTGACACCAACATCTCTTAGATGCTGAGAGCACATGCAAGAACTACACAGCAAACAGGACGGACTTCCACACAGGACAGACTCTCACTTGTCTGTGCACTGTGAGCACACAGACCGTCTGGAATATTGAGGCTCTGGAAGGAAGTTTTTCACGACTTCCTTAGTAGGTCTCGGCTGTTTGAAACACAAATCTCTATGCCCACAGCTGAGTCAATGAAAACAGTCCAGAGCAGGGCGGGACTGGGACAGAGGTCAATGCGGTCGCTAGCACCAGCACACTTGGAGGTCTCTAAGCAGCAACACCAGACACAGACAAGGCATTTGTCTCTGTAGCCTAGCCACATGCTGTAACGAATAGTAGAATGGTTGCACCAACAATTCTCCGGCAACAACATGCCTTTGAACTTGTCAAGGAACAACTGGAGCAAGGTGACACACACCTATAATCCCAGAACCCAGGAGGCTGAGGCAGGAGGAACATCATGAGTCTGAGGTCAGCCTAGGTCATACAGCTGTTACCAGGCCACTGAAGCCTACCTCACAAGATCCTGCCTCGGACACAAAACAAAACAAAAAGAAACAAAAGCAAAGTCAATAAGCTAGTTTTTCAAATACCACTCTGAAAGCCAGAGGTACCCAACTTAGATGGTTTTGATAATCCAGAAAGACTAAAGGGACAGAAATTGTAGTTTCTCTTTTTAGTGAAATGCCCCTATTCAAATAAGACATTGTGTGAATGCAGATGCTCTTTCGAAAATCTACTTCCCATTCTACTTGGGCAGGCTTTGAACTCACTCACTGGCACACAGATCAGAATTCACCTTTCTTGGGATGAAAATCAAATGTGTCTGTTTCCAGGCAACTCCTTCCCTTCCTACCACAGAGAGCCCTTTCTAAGATAACAGGAGGTAAAACACCATCACATCTCCCGGGGTCTCGGTATCTATGGATTGTCATTACTCTGGCAGAAACACTTGACTTTCATGGAGAAGTGGCAAGTGGCAGTCTTGAGATGGTGACAGTAATGACAAGAAATGCCACCCAGCTTCCTCTGAGAGTCTAGTAGGCCAGGGCACTGATTTGCCCTGCAGCCTGGCTTTGCCCTTTAGGCATCCTTCAGCACGGTGCTTCAGTTCTGCTCCCAGAGTCTCTGCTGGTCTAGCTAGTTCCTTGTTCTCAATTAGAAGCATGTTTCAGGCCCACATGGCAATGCTTTGAGACAGATGTGAAAACCACAGCAAGTAGGATAGTGGTATTACAGGAACCCAACATCCAGAGATGTTGGGAAGTGGCCGATAAGCCTAGGACAGCCCTAATTCATGGGACTCTCAGTACTGGCCCTCCTCCCTTGGACATCTGGACTTACAGGCACTGTCTTTTTGGAAGGCACATTCCACTCTGTGTTCTACCCTTGAGACACGCCTCCCATGAGACGGGGTTCTGGCTCCCACCCTTCTCACCCCGTGGAAGCTATGCAGCTACATGGTAACTCTACAGGTTCCGGCTCAGGAATTCTCCTTTTCCACAGCAGCCCTCAGTCTTTCTTGTGATGTCACTCCACCTGCCCAGGTGAAGTCTGGTCCCATTCCTCCCCATGCCAGGCTCTTTCCTTCCTGATGCCTCAGCAGCCCTCAGGGCTCTGCCAGGTGCCTCCCCCTCTGCCTCCCCAACTCTAGCAGCTCATCTAGAGACCTCTAGCCCCACGGTCCGACCTCTGTGGCAAGTTCCAGTGTTGTTAACTACCGAAAACATTTTTGAAAATCCAATTTCCCAAGTTTCCCCCATCTTTCCTGAGAGGAAGCCTAACTTCATCTATTTTTCCTGTTAGGGTCATGGAGAAAGCATCATCCTGACCCCGGCTCCTTGTGCCTGGGTCCCTTCTGCACCAGCACCTCTGCAACCCTGAGTTTCTCACACTTCAGTTAGAAATCTACCCACCACTTTCTTAGGTGTTCATCCAAGGTTTCTCCTGTTTCTCCTAAATCCCTCACTTCACTCCAACTCCCACCATCTAATCGATTGAACTTTCCCTCCCCCACCTCTCAGAAACAAACACCCCACTTTTCCCTCAAGGCCTGGCAGACTCTCGGTCTCTTCAGCCTGTGAGCTACGTCCCACTCTAGATAGTGACTGTGGTCGCAGCATTTTGTCCCTCCCTGCCTGCACCGCACAAGCTGAGTCTTACCAAGTGCCTCCCTTGCCCACTCTCCCTTTTTACTACTTGACTTCTGCTGCTCTCTGAAGCAAAGCTCACTGAAGTGTTCTTCCCCATGGCTGGCAACTGCTGTCCTCATCGGTGCCCCTGAGAGGAGCCACTTCAGTAGACAGGCCTCCAGGGCAGCATCTGTTTCTCCTGTGTCCGCTGTGGTTTGTTCCTCCATCCTCAGATGGGAAGTCACAGAGGTCTGCATAGGAAGGGAGAGGCCAGCCCACAGCCTGCACTAGTCACTGCCCCTCCTTGTCTCACTGGCTCTCTCCACGTGGTGACAAATGTCTGTTACAGGAGCATCATGTCAGCTTCATGGATGCAGGATCTGTATTTTCTCTCCTCACCACAATGACAGCCCTGGGGAAATTCTACCTGCACTGACCAGTTTACTGAAGAACCGACTGCCTGAGGTCCTGGCTCAGGTGGGAGGGGACCTGTGTTCCCTGTGGAACAGCAGAGTGCAATCAACTCTGCTACATCCTTAAAAACTCGCCACAAGCGTGCTTTTGTGTCCACCACTGTCCTGCAAGTTCCTAACCGCCTGGAAGCTATTTTTAGGTGAACAACTACAGCCATGAATGGGAGCTATTGACAGAAAGAGTCTCCCTTACACTCAGCCTACACTTACTGAGCATGCTCTCTGAGCTAGCAGCTGACAAAGAATAAAGGGCAGAACCCCTGTCCCCATGGAGCCGATTTCTAAGGCCTGAAAAGAATGCCTATCTAATTTCTTGCTTGATGCCTTCAATAAAAGACTGTTGTCCTTGGGCCCTGCGCTGGAGTGCAGAATGCTGAAGGGACCCCATGTGCAGCAGGCAAGTGAACCCCACAGATAAACAGCTGGGCGGGGGCAGGGACTCATCCACAGACAAGAACCATGACTCTGTGGCCTGTGGAGGGGGCCCTCAGGGCCCGGAGATTGAGGCTAATGGGAAA